GGGGGCGGGGGGGCCTGGCCGGGTTTTGGTCCCCCCTTTGTCTTCGTCATTTTAGCGCCCCGCCTTATAAAGCACTCTAATTTACGCGCGAGGTAAGCGTATGCAAGCGTATGCAGGATGTGAGCCCGACCCTCTCTGCTTGCGCTGCTTGCGCTGCGGCCTCGAGAGCGGGACGTCCCGTCGTCGGTCTGTCTCTCTCGCACGGGACTTGTCCCTCCCCCTCCATCCCCCTCTCAAGTGCGAGAGAGCGAGAGCGCGCCGCCCGGAGTCGGCCCGGTCGGCCCGCTGCCCAGGCCTCGGCGGGCCTCGGCGGGCCTCGGCCACGCCGACGCCGCCGGCGCTTACTTAGCCTCGGCCTGTCACGCTTTAAGATGAAGTGAAGACTTAACCGGCCTCAGTAATTTATGCCGCCTCGTGTGGGGGGGGGGGGGGGGCTGCGCTGCGCGCGCGCATGGGTGTGTGATGGAGTGGGAGTGGGGTGAGGCGTATCAGACTACACGTCGGCACTGCATGTGTGGGATTCCTATAGTGGGCCCTCCCAACCCTGCTTCACCAAACGTGGATGAGATGAGTGAGGAAGTGAAGAGAGTCTGTGGGTCCTGCTGGACGCTGGTGTGGTATGCCCCGCGGTATGCCCCGCGGTATGCCCCGCGGTATGCCCCGCGGTATGCCCCGCGGTATGCCCCGCGGTATGCCCCGCGGTATGCCCCGCGGTATGCCCCGGGGGCCCGGGTATCCCCCGCGGTATGCCCCGCGGTATGCCCCGCGGTATGCCCCGCGGTATGCCCCGCGGTATGCCCCGCGGTATGCCCCGCGGTATGCCCCGCGGTATGCCCCGCGGTATGCCCCGCGGTATGCCCCGCGGTATGCCCCGCGGTATGCCCCGCGGTACCGCCCTCCTGAACCTGCGGAGGAAGATTCCAAAAAGCGTCCTCAGGTCGTGGTGGCTCGGTTCGACCTCTGGCTGCGAGAAGTCGATGCCCCACGGCGATCGTCCAGATACCCTTTCTCACTCTTCCCTTCGAGGGAAACGACGCTTCTCCCGCTGAAGCGCGCGTGTGTGCGACGACGAAAGCGCTGCTCCTGGAGGTCGGCTCAGGGTCTAATTGCCGAGCCGCTTCGCCGCGCGGCGCTGCGCCTCCACTGTATATTAAACAGGCAATGAATGATATTAAAAGGATTATCACGTGGAGGGCGGAGGGCGCCGCCGGGATTCGCGGCGCAAAGACGCCGCCGAAATTGCAAAATTAGTCTAGTTTCGAATTTTAAAGTGGAGCCCCCGCCCGGGCGCGAATATGGCACTTGGCGCCGCCGGGCTGCCGCGCCGCCGGATACACAGCAGCGGCACTATAATAAGCTGATTTCGTAAGCAAGGCTGCCTGCTGGGCTGCCTGCTGGGCTGCCTGCCCGCTCGGGCTGCCGGCGCGGACAGCCGGAAAGAGAATGGCGAAGGAAGGCTCAGAATGGAGTAATTAGAAGGCTGGGCGGAAGGGGCCGGGGAGCAGCAGAGTCGTTTTCGTCTCTCTGCCTCTCTTGCTCTTATGCGGGGCGCCCCGCGAGTGCGAGAGGGACAGAGCGATGAAAACGACCCTCGAAGTCAGTCTGCCCGGCCGGCGGCGCGTCCCGCCAACTTCTCGGTCCAGCCATGCAAGCCATCCAGCCGTCGTTGCATCACCGCCTGCAAACAGGTAGCAGCTGTGTCGCAACCAGCACCAGCATTTTCGATTCGATTTTTTTTCGTTTTTCCCTTCAGAGACTTTGGCCCTTCCGCCGTGGGCCGAGGGAAGCTGCAGTCTGTTATTGGCTCGGCCTCGGCAGTAGCGCCAGTCGACCACTTCAGTGCACTGGAGTTTGGAATGGGATGATCCAGGGACCAATGGGACTGCGAACGAGTTAGTAGGGGAGAGTTTCGTCCTGCTCGCTACCCTTCCACCCAGTGCAGACTTCTGGCGGACAACTCGGGCCGGTGCTTCGTCCGACTTTTTCACTCGCACCCTGAGGACGGATTTCCCCACCGGGAGAGGGAGGGAGAGAGAGAGAGAAAGAGAGAAAGAGAGAGAAGAGAGAGAGAGAGAGAGAGAGAGAGAGAGAGAGAGAGAGAGAGAGAGAGAGAGAGAGAGAGAGAGAGAGAACAGAGCGACAAAGGCACACTGGAGCAGCTCGGCCGCGAGGCCACCCGAGTTAGTTCTTCGCCGCTGCCTCCCCCTCCTCCCCCTGGGCCGAGGCCGAGGCCGCACACACAGGACGTGTTGCTCACAGCGATTATAAACTTGCCGGGCGGCGTGGCCCCGGTGCGACTTAGCTTTAATCCGGGCGCAGAACTTGCCGGCTGGGGCGTCCGCCGCGGCCCGACGCTCCCCTCGTCGCCCCGCCGCGCAGTTAGCTGGGCCGTGAGCGACAAATTTAACCGTCGTTTGGAGCAGGCACAAGTTGAGCCGGAGTCAGCCAGACATGATCCCCCGGCATTCCCCCGCTCCCCTCGGGCAGGCAGCCCGTCTCCAGCAGCCCGACCAGCCGTCCGAAGCCTTCGAAGACGAGGCGCAAAGTTAAGAATACTATGCAAAATGACGTCATCAGCGGCTCCTGAGACAGTGTGGCAACAGGCTCCTCACAAAATTTGGGAAAGACGCGTTTTGTTCTCCTCTGGACGCTTTTCGTGAGGATCAGGGGGTATAAGGAAAATTTCACCACTGAGATTGATAAAATTGAGCTTCCAACAAAATTCATACCTTTAACACTACACACACTCCTGAATGTTTTGGGCAGCAAAAAGACACTGTGAGAAAAAAGTACGGAAAAAGTACGGAACATGTCTGGTCAATAATTTGCCTGGAACGTCCGTACTTGCCAACTACGGAACGTTCCGTACCTTTTTTCCGTACCCATTTACATGGGTTTATATGGAGCTAGTACGGAACGTTTCGTACTTTTCTCCGTACCTCCGTACTATATTTTTCTGTACCATTTCCGTACAAAAGTACGGAATCTTTTACAGTGGAATGCCGTCGAAAAATACTACTGAGGACCGAATTCAAACCACAGGGTTTGACTTCTCATTCCAGTGCGCTAGAGCACACGTCTCTAGGAAAGCCTTTGGACTGCGATTCAGCAGGAAGGAGGAATGGATGAACTTCAGCAGGTCGGACAAAAAGAGGTCGTACAAACGATATCACTGAAGAAAGTCTACGAAGCATGGCTTCCTATATGAAGGCAGGCCTTCATTTTCTTCGTAGTTTCGAGACATGCTTAGAAGGTTTTTTTTGCATCATATGTACCACGTCATTCGAAACGAAACGAAAACGAAAAAGCGAAAACGCGCTTCCCGCGACACCGTCAAGCTACCCGCAACACCGTACAGTATTTGCGCAAAAACATTAAGTGTCGATTGCTTAAATTTTTTCGAGTCGGTTCCCCCCTGGACTTTCCGAGGTCTGAACAATGCCACTGTGAATGATGTTTGTTGGCGGGTGCTCCGGGGCTCCCCTTTTCGACCGCGCCACGTCACTGCGGAGATTCGGCGGTGCAGGCCGCCTCACCCCGCCTCACCCCGCCCCGCCCCGCCCCGCCCCGCCGTGCGCTGCATATCGCGCCGTGAATAAACCAATGCACCAGACTGCAGCCGGGCCTAAATAAAACAAAGGCCCTGCAGTGGGCCGGCTGACGTGTGCAGTGCCATGGCTGCGCCCTGCTGGCGGCCGGCTGTCCGTCACCGCCACGCGCTACGCAGGGAATGGGCTGCTGCGGGCGGGCCGGCGCGCGGGGCCGGCTGATTCCGAGAGTCCTTTCCGTCTCTGTCGCTCTCTCGTACTCCTAGGGGCGTCTCATGCAGGGGCGGAAGAGACGTTGGGACGCCCCAAGAGTGCGAGGGAGACAGATCCACGAGACCGACTGGCTGACTGCGGGCGGAGCGGCGCGCC